TATGGCAGATTTCGGTGTGTTAGAGAATTGGGTGTGGTGTCCTGCACAAAGTATCATGTTAAATTGCAATGTGGATGCAAAGCATCAAACGTGTTTAGAGGATTGGAGAGTTGAGCAGAATTTTTGCTAGCTGACTAGCAGTTTTTGTAATTGTGACAAGTGTGTCATTTTAGTGTTTTAGCAACTGAAAAAAATGGTAAGAAGCTCATCTGAGTAACAATTAATACAGAGTGAACTGAGATGTGAAACATCAGGCTGCATCACAGTAAGCAAAGACATGCCACAGTAAATGCTGGCATGAAGACGTTCTAAGAACATTGTGAACTTGTCCTCTTGTTCAATTAGGCAATGTGGGCAGATTTGGAAAGACTGGCTATTTCCTGTACAGACTGTACTTTAAGGGCAGGTAAAACCAGTGTGACTAGTTGGTCCTGGATGTTCCAGGAAACCAAAAAACATGAGAGTAGGGCTGGTACATACGGTATGTGGTGATACATTATAGTAAACATACTTAACAGTGAACAGCCACCAAAAAGGGGAAATGAATGGTTAAAAGACCAATTGGTATATTTGAAGAAGAAAGATGATGCTGAATGTGACTTCTTATTTGCAGCTTCTTCAAATTTTCCAGTCCACATTAAAAGTGACATAATATAACCTATGTAAGACTGAATCAATTATTTTTTTCTTATTCATTTTAATAATCAGAATCATTTTATTCATAATTTTTAATCATTCACTAAATCTTTTGTGCTATATAATGTTTTCTTTAAGACCCCTCAACATTGTACAGTGTGACATGAAGTTTAATTATGATTTTTTGCTATTTTACTGTCATTCTACCTGCCCAGACACCCCAAAATATCATAATCTTGAAAAATAACATAATTTACTGTAGCATTTAAGTAAAACCCCTGAAATAATCCTGAAATCATGAAAACGTACTATAGCATTTTTTGTTAGACCCCTCTCAGCTTGGTAAATTGACATAAAATTGAAAGCTGCTTATTTCCATTTTTGCTGCTTTGCTGTCATTTTTACTGCTAAGCATAAAAATGCCTCAAGAAAACAATACTCAAAAAATGTTTGATACATGCGGCAGGCTTCAAGCCTACTTCTGGGTGTTAGCATAAGCAGGCTAACATGAAGACATATTAGAAGTTTGACTTGTTGGAGTGAATACCAACACAGGGTGCTTTCTGATGCAGCACAATAGGAAGCAGAAGTTTGGCTAGTTATGATATGATCCACAAAAGAGTGTGTGATAACATATTAGATGGTTCTGTGATAATTACTCTAAACCAGTGCACCTCATCAGCCTATCTGGAGCAGCCACACAAACATGTCTGCTGGGTACTATTTACCCACCTGGCCTTGTAAAGATTGTAGTTAAGTTAGAAAATACAGTAACTGCTGAAAAGTTGAATTTGTATCACAATGGCAGCAATGTGGGTTTAACCAGACAGTTTTCCACCGGGGGTCACTCGGTGATAGGTGGACTGAGTAGACTGCACAAACACACACTAAATATGTACTGTGTTGTTTTAAACAATACATACCAAATTACTTTTTTATTCAGAAATGCAAATAACCTGTAATAACGTGCACTCAAAGCACATCATTTATCATGAATACATCACACACATTATAGGTAAATGGACTGTTCCATTTCTGCAGTGCCACTGCAACTGTGCACCAAATGGAAACACACCGGTGTTCAAGCCGAGGTCAACTCAGATACAAATTACCATCCATTCATCACCACTTCCTGCAGTCTCATTTTACATTTATGCCTGCCATTATTGACCATAGAATTTTTCAAAAATTTTTTGTTATTTTTTAATGTTACTTAGGTCTTTGCACTTAATAATAAAAACCAAACAGTACTTTTAGTATAATATATTTTTATATCTCAAAAGCAAAAAATACACCAGCATCATCCCCAGTACCAATAAAGAACCATATTTGGGTTTCCCATGGCCCCCAAAGCATTAAATCCGCCCCTGTTTATACCTTCATTACACAGGATTACTTCTTATATGACAGAAATTTAATGATAAGAATCACCATCAAAAACCTAAGGACACAACAACATACACGGTGAGGAACAAGAGTCTCCAACTGCTGCACATCAACAACCCCAGTGTTGTAAAGCAACATTCCTTAAAACAAATGCTAAAACCAAATCAAGGACAAGACCGCTCAGGTAGAAATACAATCAAAAAGTGTATTAGGCTAATATGTTGAGTGATTTTTGTTGTATGGATCATCTTTCATCTCCCTAAATCAGAGTTTTGGCAGTCAGCAGACTGACAAGCAGAGTCACCAGTGAGGTCAACAGGTGTGAAGCGCTGCTTCCTGCCATTTATTTATCTGTAGGAAAAGAACCAACATTTACATTAAACGAATGAATCAAGCTCTATGTTACAGTGCCTTGCGAAAGTATTCGGCCCCCTTGAACTTTGCGACCTTTTGCCACATTTCAGGCTTCAAACATAAAGATATAAAAGTGTAATTTCTTGTGAAGAATCAACAACAAGTGGGACACAATCATAAAGTGAAATGAAATTTATTGGATATTTCAAACTTTTTTAACAAATAAAAAACTGAAAAATTGGGCGTGCAAAATTATTCAGCCCCCTTAAGTTAATACTTTGTAGCGCCACCTTTTGCTGCGATTACAGCTGTAAGACGCTTGGGGTATGTCTCTATCAGTTTTGCACATCGAGAGACTGAAATTTTTGCCCATTCCTCCTTGCAAAACAGCTCGAGCTCAGTGAGGTTGGATGGAGAGCGTTTGTGAACAGCAGTTTTCAGTTCTTTCCACAGATTCTCGATTGGATTCAGGTCTGGACTTTGACTTGGCCATTCTAACACCTAGATATGTTTATTTGTGAACCATTCCATTGTAGATTTTGCTTTATGTTTTGAATCATTGTCTTGTTGGAAGACAAATCTCCGTCCCAGTCTCAGGTCTGTTGCAGACTCCATCAGGTTTCCTTCCAGAATGGTCCTGTATTTGGCTCCATCCATCTTCCCATCAATTCTAACCATCTTCCCTGTCCCTGCTGAAGAAAAGCAGGCACAAACCATGATGCTGCCACCACCATGTCTGACAGTGGGGATGGTGTGTTCAGGGTGATGAGCTGTGCTGCTTTTACGCCAAACATAACGTTTTGCATTGTTGCCAAAAAGTTCGATTTTGGGTTCATCTGACCAGAGCACCTTCTTCAACATGTTTGGTGTGTCTCCCAGGTGGCTTGTGGCAAACTTTAAACAACACTTTTTATGGATATCTTTAAGAAATGGCTTTCTTCTTGCCACTCTTCCATAAAGGCCAGATTTGTGCAGTATACGACTGATTGTTGTCCTATGGACAGAGTCTCCCACCTCAGCTGTAGATCTCTGCAGTTCATCCAGAGTGATCATGGGCCTCTTGGCTGCATCTCTGATCAGTCTTCTCCTTGTATGAGCTGAAAGTTTAGAGGGACGGCCAGGTCTTGGTAGATTTGCAGTGGTCTGATACTCCTTCCATTTCAATATTATCGCTTGCACAGTGCTCCTTGGGATGTTTAAAGCTTGGGAAATCTTTTTGTATCCAAATCCATTAAAGGCTAAGGCCGGGCATTTCTATTTTAACAGTATTTTCAACAAGTGCTCTGTCACCACTCCTTCATTTGTCAGATCATTTCAGACATGGCGTGTCTTTAATTTGCATACAATTTAAGGATTCTTTCCATGCAGGACCTGCCCAGTAAGTCGGTTTTTTGAGTATCATACTGATGCATGCCTGTTTCAAGTATTATATACAAGGGTGTAGTTTTGCATATGGACGGTAGGGACATGTCCCTACCAATATTTTGGAAAGACACAACTGTCCCTACCAATATTTGAGCAAACCCATGTGCGTTATCTTTGGAGTGAAGTCATAAGATCATTCCAATGTGCCCTCCCTAAGGCTACATCTACATCTACATTTCCCAGGTGACATGCTAGCATCTGACTGATTCAACGTGAGGGGGCGAACTGAAGCTCACGTTACGTGCAAATGTCAAGTTTGCTCCCAGAGACAGGAGACTATAGCTGGCTGTCAATCTGCTGACAACACTATGTTATCAGTGCTGTCAGTCCATACATCAAGCATGGGAAAATTTAGTCTTTCAGATGACTTATTCCCTTTGTTTTATTGGCTGCACTCCACAGCACACATAACATAACTTTGTCCATGTCACATCTTGTCCTTTGTAGATAACATTATTCCACTGAAAAAACAGAGACATAAGCAGTATTTTTTTCTTGTTGTTGGTCAAACACTACAACAACAAACTGAAACTCACTATAAAACTTTTTGGCATTATTCACATTTGTGATTTGATACATTATCATTGTGAAAAAAACTATTTACGGTATAGTCATTTTAGGATTTGAATCGATTTTACAGGAGGTCCGTTTTTTGGTATTTTGTGTCTTTTTAAAAAAAAAATTTTAACTAGTCTGCATGGTAGTGTTGGCACGGTTGTGGCAGCTTCTACCCATAAGATTTGCATCTGTTTTATTATTTCCCATTGTGCCTGGGCAACCAAATCAGTTTTATATTTGGTTATTTTTAATGTAACTAACATAAAATCTGTTTACAGCAGTTTGATTTCTGATGCTTTATTGAATATCACTGAAATGTTTTAAACTGATAAAGCATGAAGTGTGTGTGGTATTGTTTATGTGACTTGCATTTATTTTAAAATGCCTATTAAATCCATCCAGAGCCTACGTAGCTAATAGGATAGATAATTAACTAACTGGCCAGCAGGCACACTGATTTAAAATGAAGACCTGCTGGCTACCCATCTTTATATTATGGAAAATTTCAACTCATGTTAGTTAACCAAGTCAGTGGGAGGCTGTAGTGTCACTACCAATGTTGACACCAAACCTACAGTACATCCTTGACATAAACCTCTATTGATGCTCAAAAACAAAATCACATCAGAGAAACACAACAATGTCCTGGTTGACATTTCCTCATTACAAAATACCAGACCCTGTTAGTATTTTAAAAATGGCTCTGAATGGCCAAAACATTTCACTACATCTAAAGTATGCAAGAGTCAAGGGCCCACACATGAAACCTCTGGATACTATTTATATCAAATATTAGGGTCTTGTGTTTCATAATGATGTTGTTAGAATTACCACTGTCATCAAACAGCATCACTGCCATACAAAAATGTACTCGATTAAGGTCTGAAGTAGCACTGTTTACTATACTGATATTGGAAGTAAATATGGAAAGCCCACCAGCATATACACTGTGATATATCACTACAGGCAGATATTCACTATAAAAGGTAGTGTCACCTCTCTACAGGGTTGATGCCCACATCCATAGACAGAGCCTGAGACAGAGGATATTCACAGCAGAAACGCAGACGGAAGTTCCTCTGGCGACTGATTTGACCTTCAGAAGGGCCCACACTGTCCTGAATGCTGTTCTCATAGATGAAATGAGTTCCGTTGCTCTTTAAATTGAAATGAGAAAATCATTGATTACAGTTGTAACATCTAAAATCATATTCAGTCTGCACTGATAATATTGTACTGTACGGACTGTACCCTGAGAATTGTCCCACACAGCCGGTCGTCATTGTCAAACTGAAACAACACTCGTCCGTCCTGGACAGTCCCTTTACAGGTGTCATCTTGGAGATGGAGGGTGCTAGGGGGGAAGCCGTCTTCAAACAGTTGGCAGCGTGACACAGACACTGTAGCCGAACTACTATTACAAGTGATGAACGAATCTGTGAAAGATATAAAAATTGGTTTTGTTACTTTGTGTATAACTAATCTCATCATTTAAGGCTGCACAAGTGTATTTTTACATTAACAATGAATTAAATGACCACTGTATGTAGAGTCTGAAAGGCTTGTTGTGAAATGAGATGGACTTTCACAGATACTGTAACAATTCTTTAGGTTTATATTTTCTCACCAGTTTTAAATTGCTTTATCATTGTTTCTGGGAAATGAAGAGGTGCCAGTTTTTGCTGCTCAACTTGTTCAAAATTAACCCAGAATTTTAAATGATTTTATTTAGCCTGCAGATTGTACAATGGGTTTACTCAACACTGTAATCTTTAGCTTCCACCTGCTGTTAGCAGCTCACAAACAGAATTTTAAGCTTGGAAATTCGTTATTTTTTGCAGAGATGCTCTCCTGGAGATGTAGTTAGAATCTAACCAGACTGAATTCATTAAAAATTAACCCAGAATTTTAAATGGCTTTATTTAACCTGCAGATTGTATAATGAGTTTACTCAACACTGTATTTTTTTTCAAGATGTTCCCCTGGAGATGTAGTTTAAATCTACCTCAGTGTTCTTATAAAAACAGAATTAGACCATTTGACTTTATATCAAATAAATAAATAGATTTTTCAACAGCAGCTGTAAACCCTCAATACTGATGATTACTGTATATACAAGTTCACCATTTCAACCTGGGTCTCTCTGATCATCCTCACACTGAGACCTGCATACAGACCCAGAGTGAAAGCCATCAGACCAACACAAAAGGAGGTATGTGTGTGGC